GCCCTCCCAGCAACCCCTTGACCCTTTTGTAAGTGATGCTCAACACAGGCCTCTCGAAAATGCCACATAGGAGCATCGACAATGTAGAATGCCGCATCAGTTGTGGACATGCAGACCTGTTCCATGCAACTACCATCAAAGCAAGTACAGTTCTTCTTCAGGCTACCACCATAAGCCAAAACATTGTGATGCATACAAGGAACCCAGGTCTGAGCAAGCGGTAATTTGTGAGTTTCACACACCACTGTCAGTATCTCCAAGATTTCAGTCAATGCAGTTTGGCGACCTTCATTACAAGAAGTGCCAAGCATATATCTGTGAGAATGGAGGAGGAGAAAATGATAGAAGAAATCCATATTTACTTTCTTGTGTTCCAAAAGAATACCAAATTAGGCACACATTGTTATTGCAGCTCAACTGCATGCTTGTATGATCCAATATATCTGAACGTTTCAGACTTACTGCCTGCAGGAGAAATGAAAATTTTTCACTGACAAACCTCTTCATGTTTGAAGCTCACTCATATAACAGTATTAGTATTCAAATGAAAACGAAAGCTATCAATTTAAAAAATAAGTACACTAAGCTTGTTTGAATAAGAGCATGACACAATATGTAATACTAATATATGCTCAGAAAATAAAATTATAAAAACCAACCTCAAGTGCTTTGCAAACTTTACCAACCTCAGGTGCTTTGCAAACTTTATCAAACTTTATCAACCTCAGAAGCCATCCTATACTGATGAAGTCCATTAGTATGAGGATCAAGAACAAAGGGTTGCCCTGAAGTTGTGAGCACATACCGACCCCCATTCTTCACTGGTGCCCAAACCTGAGCTAGAACATGTTGGTCAGTCAATTCCTTGAGCTGTCTCAGAGCTTGAGTGATCTTCTCTTTAATTAAGCAATAAGCTTCAGGATTTTCAACAGGTTCCAGTCCCAAAAAGGGGGATGTAAGCATTCTTCTGTCCTCATTCTCTCTTGGTATTTCCCTTCCCGGATCAGGAATACCTGCATTTTTGTGATATTATATGAGAGAAAACTCAAATGAGTGAACCTCCTGACTGCTACTCAACAACTGCAAAATGCTAACTGAAGCAATATGTTAAGCCAACGAAATGTGTTTTCAATTCCTAGGAATTTCAGGCCAAAAAGACAGAAGTTCCCATAAACTTTTTATTTTTTAGATGGTTGACTTCAAATTCTAAGAATATTCAGACCAGATAGAATTAAACAAAGATTAATGAACAAGGAGAACTCATTTCAGAGGAACCAAGGTCTCCGAATTCAATTGCTGGCCCAGCAGGAATGTAAAAATGCAACCTTTTCAGTATAACAGGGTATAGTCTCTTTAGTTGCAGAGAACTGAGAAACGAGTAAAGGAAACACTTTTTGACCCTTAACTATTTTGTTGTTTAATTCTAAGAGTACAATTTTATTGCTCAATGCCAAATAAAAGTTTAAAGTCAGGAAAAACAATCTATTTATATATAATAAAAAATTAAAAAAAGGACACGACCGCCTAGGCGGCCGCCTAGCCGCCTAGGCCGATTTTTCGAACACTGCCCAGGAAAGCATTTGTTCAGCTGAGTTCTATGATTATCACAGTGAACATACAAACGTCTAAAACATTTCTGATTCAGAAAAACCAAATTCAATGGTAAGACAGAGAAAACTGATCGACCCAGAAAAGAAAAGAAAAAATTTAAAAAAGGACACGACCGCCTAGCCGCCTAGGCCGATTTTTCGAACACTGCCCAGGAAAGCATTTGTTCAGCTGAGTTCTATGATTATCACAGTGAACATACAAACTTCTAAAACATTTCTGATTTAGAGAAACCAAATTCAATGGTAAGTCCATCTGATCTCCTTACATTAGATCTTGCACTGATATGAAAAACTCACAGGAACTGAATTGAGGACGGTCAGAAAGAGCTTGATCAACTTGTCCAGCGAACTTATCATCATTATTAGCATCACCATCAGGAAAACCCCATAAAGGAGAACAGGGCTGGTCAGTGGACGAGAACAAAGGAGGGGACGTGGGATTAGAAGGAAAGTGAATCGGATCCAACGGCCAAAAAGCATCAAACTCCATGAGCGCAGCTTCTCTGTCGTCTACTATGTTCTTTGACTTTGGCGGAATGGCTTGAGTTTGGCTTTCCTCTTATGGCTCAGCCATTTTCTGGGAAAGCAGTGATTTTTCTTTCGTTTTGCGGGAAAGTTGTCTCTCTAGGGAGAGATTTTGAGAGGAAGAGTTTGCTCTCTTATTTTATTCTTTATTTTTATGTGTGGAATTATGAATTCAGTAGAGTAGTCCGGTCGGTTATAGTTTAGACGTCCATTCTTTATTAAAAATGAATTGTTGATATGTCATTTATTATGTGTCGATATTATTTTCGGCAACAAAATATATCGACATGTGATCAGTACATTTTCAACAATATTGCACATAGAATTTATGTCTGTGTGAGAATCTTACTTGCAATCTACGATATATTTCTTTCTGTTTATAGCACTTATAACATAACATGGTCACATAATAAGTGTTGGGGACAAAGAAATATACTCCTTGTGAGACATCAGATTTTCTTATAAACCTATATTATAACACACACATAATTTTAGAGTTCATAAATTTACAAATGTTATAATTTGAGTGAACTTATAGCGACACATAACATACGCCACATGATATTACCGTAACACATAATAATATGCGAGGGAAGAAAATGGAATGCAAAAAGTAAGTGTGGGGTGTGAGGTTGATGAGTTTTTTATTTTTTATTTTTCTGTTGAGTGTGTATTTAAGGGTAGTTTGGGAAGATAGTGAGGTTTTCTTAGGAATTGTGAAAATTTGAATTAGAAGTTAAGGTGAACTTAAAATATGGGGTAAACAAATAGAAGTGCGGGGTTTAAATAGAAAAACTGGAAAAAAAAAAAAGAAAAAAGAAAGAATGCAAGAGAGAGGAATTTTAGAAGTTTGTGTTTATTGCCAATAAAGTAATAAATGCAAAGTTAAGTGCATCTCAAATGAATTTTGAACCGTTAGATTGGGATGGATCTAAGGGCTGAAGATGTGTGTAAAAAGGTGTGGTTTTATGTATGTCCCCCGATCCTAACCCATATATATTACCCGGGGGATAATTGCCATGCCTAGCTGGGGAGCTCCACTAGGGTTTTTTAGGTTCATGTTGTTCTTTTTACCCCCCAACAAAAGAAGCAAAAAATTTAGATAGATTAATTAATAATTTCAATTCTTAATGTTTGAATTAACAAGGGCATTTTCTAGTATTTTGAATATTTCACCATTCTCTGCCTTTTGCTTTATATATATAGATTATATTTTAATTATTATTTATTTAGTGAATATTTAAATATTTTACTGATTTTGTAAATTACTTGGTAAATAGTAATTAATTGTTTTGAATTATTTTGTGAACTTTGTTTTTTGTTCTTTGATATTAAATAATCATTAAAATACTTGCGTACGTGTACAATACATGTATTATACATTTGCTTTCATTATACCAAGTCTTTAAGACGTATACGAAAAACGAAAGTATTATTGAAAAATATGTACGTACGTGTATAATACGAATATTAAATGGGAAAATGCTAAATTCTTTATATGGGTAAAAACTTTGGAAAAGTAAGAAATCAAAAGGGGACAATAGCTATACCTTGGGAATGGCCTAAACGTAATTGATAATGCTCTAGACTAGCCTTATCGACAAAGGAAAATCAGGGACACAAAATTTATAAAAAAAAAAAAGAGACAAAAAGCACTCATTAGATATTTAAAGAGTATAGGCACGCGGCTATACTATTTATTTTATTGAAAAGGACCCACACAGCGCCTAGGCGGCCCAATTTATTTATTTATTTATTTTAAAGAGTATAGCCGCGCATATATCTGAGCAAGCGGTAATTTGTGAGTTTCACGCACCACTGTCAGTATCTCCAAGATTTCAGTCAATGCAGTTTGGCGACCTTCATTGCATATTTGAATCTTGTTACAAGAAGTGCCAAGCATATATGGAGGAGGAGAAAATGATAGAAGAAATCCATATTTACTTTCTTGTGTTCCAAAAGAATACCAAATTAGGCACACATTGTAATTGCAGCTCACCTGCATGCTCGTGTGATGATCACACTGTGATCCAATATATCTGAACTTTTCAGACTTACTGCCTGCAGGAGAAATGAAAATTTTTCACTGACAAACCTCTTCATGTTTGAAGCTCACTCATATAACCGTATTAGTATTCAAATGAAAACAAAAGCCATCAATTTAAAAATGGGGTTCTTAGATCTAGGTCCAAAACGATTAGCTGTCATTGGGTCTAGTCCTCGTATTTTTGGTTTTAGATGTAGGTCCTTTGATATTTATTACTTTTTTGTTGTGTCGATTTTACCCTTTAAGGTAAATAAGGAAAACACATTGAAAATCTAAATTTAATGCATTATTTCCTTGAAATTGAATTCCAATTTTTTATTTTTGATTTTTTTTTCCTTGATAATATTCCTAATATATAGATAAAATACAATTTAATCAATAAAAAGTAAAGACTCACATATTATACCAATCGATCAGACAAGCATCGGATCAGGAATACCTGCATTTTTGGGATATTATATGAGAGAAAACTCAAATGAGTGAACCTCCTGACTGCTACTCAACAACTGCAAAATGCTAACTGAAGCAATATGTTAAGCCAACGAAATGTGTTTTCAATTCCTAGGAATTTCAGGCCAAAAAGACAAAAGTTCCCATAAACTTTTTATTTTTTAGATGGTTGACTTCAAATTCTAAGAATATTCAAACCAGATAGAATTAAACAAAGATTAATGAACAAGGAGAACTCATTTCAGAGGAACCAAGGTCTCCGAATCCAATTCCTGGCCCAGCAGGAATGTAAACATGCAACCTTTTACATAAGAGGTGTATGCATAGGTACCTTACCTATTGTTAAGGTATGAAGTTTTTATGAACTCTTATTACAAATTTTGATGTCGATATACCTTAGGAAAATTTCAAAATTCAATAAATAGATTTGCAATTAAATTCAAATCAAATATGATAATTAATATCCTACAAATCAATAACTTACTAGTTT